AGGGAGAAGAGGACAACAAACGAGGGGCTGTGACAAACTGTTTCGTCGGAGTTTCACCGACTCATCAGGAGGCTGAACCCTATATATATATATATATATATGACGATATATTATATATATATATCGTCAAATAGAACTGCCCGGTAAACCGTAGGCAGAGAGGGAGAAGAGGATATATATATATATATATATACTGGGACCCCGCAGGCCCTCGGTGAGGAAAAAAATAAAATAAAAAACTTCGAATGTCGAATCCCACGACGTTGTGAAGGCCAAGCGCTTTGAGGAATGCAACTGGGCACTATCTCTGGAACGTGATTTCTTATGGTTTTGGTTTTGTTTGTCTTGTTCTCTCTTCTTTTCCGTGCCCTGCCAGCGAGGCAGGGCGGATTCCACGGGAGGCAGGTAACTGCCTCACTCACGACATACTCACATCAGCACTGTAGCGTTCTGTATCGGACCACAATCGCAGTATAAGGGAGTTTTTTTTTTTTTTTTTTTCGTTTGTTTTCCATGAGGACAGACACCCTCGCTGAGGGACAGTCTCACCAGGTCCTCCTAGAATGTATCTGATGGCTACGACAGCGTTAGCTAGTGTTTTTTTTTTGTTCTTCTTTTTTTTTTTTTGGTTCTTTTCAGATGTAGCTGCCGTGAGTACCAGAAAAGAAAATACGATGGGACCCAGGCTCGGCAAAACTTGGTGCACAGTGAAAATCAGGCTCCGCAAAAACAGGATCGGAGGTAGTGGTGGTTTAACAAACTGTTCACTCCGCGCCAGCGAACGAGGGCGTGACATGGAGTGGAAAGCGCAAACAGGGTGCGTGGATTGAGAGGGATATCTTTGCCATTGTCGGCCGAGAAGATTCAGGCATTCTGCCCACTCGTGGCAGTAGTTTGGCCACGAGCTGGTGCCCGGTGGAGACTTTGTATGTGGTCGCAACTTTGCATGCCATTCTTCTGTTTTTCCCCCTCCTCTTGGTGAAGGAGGCCACTGCCCACACAGCCCACACCGCGTGCGCTAAACTACTTGGATTTATATTTCACCAAATGGCACAAAGAGGCAATTAACTAACAAACTCGTCTTTCGCACGCGTCCTCAACTATTCTATCCCGGGCCAGATGGCACGCATAAAACAAACAAATTCCATCACACTGCATAAGAAGGTAAAACACAAATCTTTCGTAGAACGGAGGAACGTGCCAAGGACATGCAAACAGACCTTCAAGTTTCTGGAGCAGCACCTCTGGAGAGAAACGCCCTCTTATCTTTTTCTCGCGCCTCAGAAGCTCGTCCAGCTTCTCTTGAGATGGGGCAAGCTCAGTCGATCTTATAATCGCACACTGCATGAACCATCGAAGCGAGAAACGACAAACAAATCAGATGGCACTCGAGGTCTCAAGCAGACGGTGGTAATTTATGACCAAACCAATAACGCCCGTCCCAGCCTCTGAAAGACTTCTTCATCTAAATGGTGAGTGGGTCTATACTCCGTCAGAGGTGGTGGGTGGGTCTGTGTACTCTGTCAGAGGCTGCAAGGGTTGCAAGAGGTCGATCAACTTTCACAAGTGGACAAGGGTTCAAACCCACCCACCAGTTGGACAGAGTGGGGGGGTCTCATCATCAAAGCAGAGATGGGAAAATACAGCAGAGCGAGAGAGAGCGAGAGATCCCATGCGAAGTACCTGGTTGTGAAGCTCAGCAATTTCCGGCTCGCGAGCCAAGTTCTTCCCTGTGGCAATCAAGCACGCACCAAAACAAGGAGAAATTGAGTGAAAAGGAAGGAAAGAAAAGAGGTCACAATATTGCTAGAACCGGATGTGTAAATGTCAGCACTATCTTGTCCAGCACACGCCGCATACAGAACGAACCCTATGCATTGCTCCCGAATATCGAAACAAAGAGGAAGGAGAGAGAGAAGCATGCTCACGCATGGACAGAAGGCAACACAACAGGATCGTTGTAACAAGGCTTACATGGACACGAACACAGAGATATCACTAACGTCTAGGACAAAAAAGCCCGCGCTCAACTCGATGCTCCCTCCGAACGGACTTCATTTATGTGTCAACCGACTCACTTTCGAGAAATAAATATATGGCGCCAACCTCTACAGCATGACCCTTGGCACCTGACAAGCCCCGATAATGCTCAAGACCTTGTGATCCATTGTCGATACTTGGGAGACCTCGATGCACCGCCCATGACATGAGCCTTCGATGCAGTTTCCAGGAAGCTTCTCACCTTCCACCAAACTACGAGACGGACACAATACTCTACTACAACTTCATTAGACATCAATACCTACAGAGTGCTTGTAATTCCATGACCTCAGGCTAGTCCAATTTCCACGACAACTACCGTGCACAGCATCGCAACAATTCGCCACTCAAGGCGGTCGTACTACCCACAACACACACGACAACTTCAAGAAAGATTGGACGAGCGCTACATCCGCGGCTGTTTTTCCTCGACCTGAATCCTGCTGTGCGCCAAAGAAAGAACTAAACCACCTGGCGGGTTACGTTGCTTTTCGCCTGGCGGTGCCAGCCATTTTGGGTCCCGTACAGCCGGCCCCCACAGTTGCGGTTTATGTATTTAAATTTTGAAGCTATTCGTTTTGCCTGCAGCACAAAGTGGCAGCTTAAGGGATCAAGCTACACAGCGATCCATGTCTATAGTCATTTATTCCATGCACAAACTTGCTATAGTCACATACTCCAAGATTCTTCTCGTTCACTACAGTACGCTTCTGACGAGAAAGACAGTTCGTTCCTGCTCCAATCAGCGGTCCTGAGAACCAGCCAGTTCATTCACAATTGTCCACAGTGATATTCAAACCTTCTTGTCCGGCTCCAATAAGCGCTCCTAAGGACCAGGCAGTCCATTCACAATTCTCCCCAGTGATATTCAAACCTTCTTTACGGAGATACTTTAGCAAGTCTGGATTCATCCATTTCCATCATCCAGCCATATGAAAGACCAACTTCCACAACCCTGTGACAAAAGAAAAAGGGTTTACCGTGACATAAAAAAAAAAGGGGGGGGAAGGTTGAATTGCAACAACAGCCCAATCATAACCAGCAGCTCAGTATCATTGGTTAGCAGTCGGTCGGACTCCTCAATCATCAATCCTCAATCATAAATCCTCAATCATCAAGTCAGCAAATCCACACACCACTGATTTCCCACATGAATCCCTGCGGTATTCCAACCATAAAACTGCACCTTCATTCATCGACAGGCACTGACATTCTCAGACTCGCGCATACCTTACTTAAAACTGCACCTTCATCCATCGAGAGGCACTGACATTCTCAGACTCGTGCGTACCTTACTCACTTCAGCACTCCATAATCATCAAATCACTAAGCCCACAAAACACTGCTTTCCTACGTGAATCCCGGCAGTATTGCAAACACAACACTGTATCTTCATCCATCGCAACCGCTGAAATTCTCAGAATCTAGCACTCGTTCCTTCGAGCGGATGCCGTCCAGGCGGTTCCGCACGTGCGGCGGACCACCGGACCGGACCCGCGTGGTGCACGAATGTGCGCCCAACAACCAGTTACCCCCCCCCCCCCCCCAAAAAAAAAAACGGCCCCGTCCGGTCCGGTCCGGGGGGAGGGTGCCGCACGCGGCAAAGCGGACCGGACCTGACGCTCGACCGGTCCGTCTGCTTGCAAGTATGGTGTCCATTGTTTCATGCCCATTCGCTAGCAGGTCCACTGTGGATATACTGTGTGCACTTTGCAAACCTATGTGCGAGGAGGAAAGACATGAAGGTGTGAAGCCTACCTACCCACCAGTGACGATAAGGATTAGAGAAGGGTAAAGGCAGGTAGATGGGTTTTCCTCCGCCGGAGCCACTCTCCATTAACATATCTTGGCAGACGTCACAGCAACCACTTCTGGGAATTACTCATACCAGAGCTTTCTCGACTGAATGCACTCGCCCCCGTAAGTTACATAGACGAACATCAGAGAACTCCCTTCGATAGTAAACATACCACTCACCATTCTACGCAAACACAAAGACATGCCAACCACATTCTCTGCAGGAGCACGAGCTCCTAACGAGCTCGACCCAGCAATAAAACTTGCAAAACACAGTAGTAGTACAACAGCTGAAAGACAGCTCCCCCCTCGGTCGTGAATCCAACAAACTTCAAAACAAAAAAAAAACAAAAAAAAGTCCACGCGTCCAGTTTCTCTTCACTGAACTTGTCGCCGTAACACCGATCTTACAACAGTTTAATGGGCCAGAGGCGAGATTCTAACCGGAGACCTGGCCCCGGTGTCGATACTTTCTGTTGCCATTTTAATTCGAACCTAGGCGCACCCTGTTCGCCCATTAAAGATCAGGACCTCTCAGACTAGTCGATTGAGATATTTCCAGATCAGTAGATCTGTAGGGCGTAGGGAAACAGCAACCCATCAAAACGTGGCAAGCGGCCAGCGACTTCTGATCCAGAAGCCGTAGCCAGGAGAAGCAGGAGAAGCGGGTCATTTCGGTTCCTCGCTTGACTCATTTGCAGTTGTCTTTGATGCAATAAGTTGATTGTCCAACACTCACGCGTCCACGAAGCAATTCTACTAATGACGATCCTACTATAGGAATTGCTTCCGGTACACCAGTCACAGTTTTTACTGCGCACCCAGGTGGACAAGTTTTTCTTTTTTTACTTTTGGTTTCGCCAAGTACTCCATTGTGTACAACCAATCTCAATCTGTCATAAAATTACAATCAAGTATAAACTTATAAAGTGGTTTCAATTCGGTGCACGCAAGTGACGACTGCTGAAATTGGTTGAACAATTGTCAAATCATAGTGCAGCTTAGCACGCTTAAGTTCTGGCCGGACGGATTCAGCCAGTCTAATGCTTTGAAGTGTGCTGTAATTAACATTTCTGAGAAATTCAAACCAAGCAGATCCATTTTCATATGCAGCGCAGAAGCAGGGTCAAGGAGGATTCATCAGAACCGTTTGAAAATAGATAGCACATATGTATATATACGATATAGAGAGTGAACCAGCGACACCTTCACCGTTCCAACTTACGTGCCAACTCTACACTCTGCTTCCGCAACTCCTCTCGAGCCTGCTCGGCCAAGCAAGCACATACATTGAGACAAGAGATCCACCACCGGTCAGACAGAAGTGCGACTCTGAAAAGGGAAAAAGAAGCAAAAAGCCAGCTGGGCAGCAGTCGGCCAACCCAGCTCAATATAAAGGAAACAAGGGACTTTGTTCACCCGTCATTCAAAATATTAATCTTTGTACGAAACTCCGTCCAGATGCCCACACTCAACCCAGCTCAAACAAACGACTTTGTTTAACTCTCGTTCAAACCCTCTCTCTCTCTCTCTCTCTCTCTCTCTCTCTCTCTCTCTCTTGTACAAAACTCTGTCTAGATGCCCGCACTCGTGCGCCCTGGAACAACGTCAAAAAGGCAAACGTCGCCAAAGAGCAGCGGGCAACAGTCACCCAACCCAGCTCAATATAAAGAAAACAGGGAACTGTGCTTCACCCTTGTTCAAACTGTTAATCTTCTTGAACAAAACTCTGTCTAGATGCCCCCACACGCACACCCTGTCGCCCTTCCCCCCATCCCAAACAAAAGGAAGACACGCATACACATGTGTACACAAGCAGAAAGGAGAAAAAAGAGGGGGAGAGCTGCAATTCATTGCATACTCGTCCATGATCCGACTCCCACGCATACAATCTGAATTCAGCTACGTGTAGGAGGAAGCCTGGATTCTCCAGCGGCGATTACATGAATCGGTATGTCCATGGAGATCCCCGTCGGCAACAACAGCCAAGACAGCCGATAACGCACCGCTGGACACGCACAGCACTTAATTCAGCCACCTTATGCTCATGAATGATGTGACTGCGACCTAGACATTCTGAATTGGGATAGGCATAGGACAAACCCAGCCGAGTTTTTCCAAACATGAGTCTCGCAGAATCTGTGTAGCAGCTCTCTAGAAATGGAGAGTTTCGCAATCTGTGTTATGGCCAGCGCACCCACCAAGCTGATAATGCACAACAGATCTGCAGCTCTGGTAGTCAAGATCCCACAGGACATGAAAAGGCAGCTCTTCGACAGGAGAATCCCTACATGCTTCTTGGTCAGTGCATTTCACCTTTCATGAAGGGAAAAAAAAAACTTTCATGAAGGAAAAAAAAAGGGAAATCTCCCTGCACCATCAATTTGTACAGAAGACGGCCTGCTCGTCCAGCAAAATTTCCTTTTAACATACATTGAAAAACTTCTATCCTTTCCTTCAGGACATCCGTTAAAATTGGAACGATACAAAACGGATTGCGGCATTCGAAAATGAGGACAATGTATTGCTGCCTGCACAGCAGACAAGCATGACGAACACACTTAGATCATGTGAAATGAAAACAACATTACGATGGTGGGAATGGAGGAAGCGAATATCAGTAGGCAATAAGAACAGTGAGGATGTGGCACAGGAGCAGAGCAGGGCAAGGGGACAAGAGGAAGAAACGGGAAACAAGTAGTTGAGGATGGGGAGAAGAAGAAAGGGAAGAAAAAGACAAGGAGATCATCCAACGGGGAAGCGCAAAGAACAGGAACGGGCGGAAAGAGCAGGGCAAAGAGGGAGGCAGTAATTGAGAAAGATTGCCAAAAGAGCAGAGCCAGAGAAAAGGACAGGAGCGTAAGAAATTGGGCGAAACAAAGAATGGACGGAACAGGGAAACAAGAAGAGCAGAGCTGCAACTCACCCTGTCAATATCCCGGACCTTGTCCAGGCTGTGCAGGAATGCATCATATGCCTCCTCATCGTTCATCAAGTTTTTTAACTCCTCGAGACTGAGCAGAAACAAAGAGCGATAGGCTCAGCACAAATTCCAACATCCACAGTTACAGAGACGTTAAACACAAACTAATCGATACAAATAAAGAACAAACAACGCCGATGTGGAGCTAGAATCCCAGACCACAACCACAGGAACGAACAGATGAATCTGCACACCAAAATCGCATTACAATACAGAACCCTTCCCTACGTTTCGTATCCTTCCGCCGATCACATCACAGATGAAGACATGCCCCGGTACACCCCCTTCCATATCACATCCATCGTCTTCCACCGGACACCTCAGATTGCAGAACAACCAACTGCCTTATGAGACCCATACGTGAAACAGTGCAAAACCAATCCTACATCTGATTACTTGTCTCATCCCTTCGCGGCAGGATAGATGGATTGTCCACATTCACGGACATAAAGACCACGCCAATGCTAAAACAATGCCACCCCAATTTCCAACTTGGTTCCAAATTGGTTCCAAATTGGTTCCAAATTGGTTCCAAATTGGTTCCAAATTGGTTCCAAATTAGTTCCAAATAATGTGACAGCACCATGTGGTATCGTATCCTTTTAGCGAGAGTCCCACGCCACTGCTGCACCATCGTCAGCCCAATTTCGTAATACAATTTGCTACAACCGATGTGGTGCACTTGGTGCTTAACCATCTTCACATTGTTCAAAGTGACACAGCAATCCTGTCACTTTTCCCTCCATCTCGGCCGCCTCCCCTACCAGAACTGCCCACCATTTCGTCGAAGTGCAGAGCCATCGATGGACCGTGGGCACCACGGGCACATTCGTATGAAAAAGTGACAAAACGAGTGTGCGCCTGGCGCACAGCTGTATCGAAAGCAACAACAAAATGCATATTTCCCTCTGCTCTGCTTCTCCAGACACCCCTGATCTCCAGACACCCCTTATCACCCCAATTTCTTGGCAATACTGCCACCGTGAGAATGCACTACTTAGCCAATTTGAATCTCTCTCTCTCTCTCTCTCTCTCTCTCTCTCTCTCTCTCTCTCTCTCTCTCTCTCTCTCTCT